ATTATGATATGAATGCAGAGATAGTGGAAGAGGTGAAGCAGTATAGTTCTGAACTAAGGACCAGGGATAGCCTGGGTCACTTAGTGGAAAATTACGAGATCTCTTCTCGAGTACTAGTTAGGCCAACTGGGGTAGAGGAGAGAGCGTGTTCTGCTCCTCGGGACCATTGGATGCCCATATATTCCCACTATCTAATAGCGGGATTAAGGTTTCCAATTCCTGAGTTGCTAGTAGGTTTGTTGTTAGATTATAATATAGGATTGACACAATTAGTCCCCAACGCTATGAGGGTAATAATAGGATTTTTAGTCTATTGCCGAGCTCAGGGGATTACTGTGCCAACGGTAAATATGTTTAAGTATTTTTTTGTTTTAAAGGGGGGTAGTAGGAGGGATAAGGGGTGGTATTATTTCACCCCTAGGGTAGCTAGTTAGGAGAGTAGGTCTTTATTCACTACGGGTCCTTCATCCATTAAAGGATGGAAGGAAAAATTCTTTTTTGTAGATGATACAAAGTGGGAGAGGGGGATGCCGAGGTGAGGGAGTTAGCAACCTGGAAGGCTAAAAGAGCCAACCAGAATAGGTTTAGTTTGAATGAGGATGAGGAGGAAGAAGTGAGGAAGTTGGTGAGGAAGAGGGGGATTTATTGAACATTTTGGACCTCACCAGCGCACAATGCATAGAAGCTGCTGAGCTCTATGGGCCAAGCGCTTTAAGTGAAGGTTGGTTTAGTTCTGTATTGTTGTACTGAATGTAGAGTATAGAACTGTGATTAATGTTGTGTTCTTGCTTTGCAGCTAAAATGGATCAATTTTTGAACACTACTGGAGGAGTGGCTATCCCCAAGAAGCCAAGGAAGAAGTCAAAGACTTCAACCAAACAAGTGGATAAGGGGAGAATTGGGACGGAGGTAGTGCCCGCGGCTTCAGCTGAGACAGAGGAGGAGGTGCCTCAATTGAAGAGGAAAGGTTGGGAGGAGAGGAGAGGACTGCAGAAGAAGAAGAAGATGGTGGAGGAGGAGGAGAGGGGGAATGAGGTGCCTCAGTTTGTACCTCAGCCTCCTCTTGTTGAGCTGAACCCTGAGCTTAGACAGTTGGAGGAGGGGGCTGAGGTACGAGCTCCTAGTAAGGGAAAGGGCCCTGTTCCCCCGTTGGGGCCTCAGAGCAACCTGTTCGAGGCGAAGAACATGACAGGGGCTAGGTGGTTCATCAATAGCACCTTCCCCGAAGTGGACAGACGCAACGCGTGGGATGAAGCTCTGAGGTATGGTGGAGCGTCTGTTGTGAAGCACGTTTTAGAGGTATGTTAAATTATTGATGTTGTTTAGTTAATCTCTTTCTTCTTCTCTTCTTTCTCTCTTAACTTCTGCTTTGATTTGCAAAGCGCGAGATGGGTGAATGATCTAGCCCAGGAGTTCATGGAGAGCTTGAGGGAGCGCTCACTCTTGAAGAGGCAATGTGACCAGCTGCAGAAGGAGAAGGAGGAGCTGGAAAAGAAAAATAAAGAACTGCAAGAGTCGCTGAACGAGGTGGTTCCAACTGTGAAACAGTTAGAACAGGAGAGGGCTTCCCTGAGCACCAAGCTCGTCTTTGAGGAGAGCAAACGTAGGATCTCTGAAAGCGAACGTGAGGCTCAGGCGCAAGAAATAAGGCTGATGAAGGAGGCTTTCGTGGAGCTCAAGGAGAATGTGCAGACCTTGGTGCACAATGGAATGAAGGAGCACATCAGCAACTTCATCAGCTCCAGCTCGTTTGACAGCATCGTCAACTTGTACCGGCTGCCCACTGCCATCATTGCATTCACGGACTGCAGGAAGAAGGTGAAGGTAGAATATCCCGAAGTGGATATTACGAAGATCACCTTCGGAGAGGAAAAAGAAGGAGTGGAAGAAGACGGTGAGAGCATGTCAGCAGACTTCCGTCCTCAGATCAAACTGAGGTGGGAGCATGATGCAAACGGACGTGCTGTTTTCCCTCCACAATTCGACTTCGAGTTCGTTGCAGTGGAGGAAGAAGGGGCAGAGGTAGAGGAAGACGAGGTGGAGGCAGGAGTGGAGGGAGCTGAAGTGGATGAGAGCCAACCAATCCCAGAAGTGGAGATTCATCCAGTTCCTTCCGACGATGAGCAGCCTCTTCTGCCAGACAAGCAGTAGCCATCACAGCCACCTCCTCCATCTGAGCAGGAGCTAGTGGAGCCACCTCTCCCAGCAGAGAAATAATTTTGTTTTTTAATTTTTTGTAGAATCATTAAACAATTTGTAATACTATTATTTCGTTAAATGAAAATTCAGTTTTGAAATTGTACATTTGCTTACGTTTGCTTTATATTTTTGTTATCTTTTACGAATAAAAGAACTAAGAGTACTTGAGACTTGATTTGAAAGAAAGCTAACTACTTCAGAAATGAACAGAAGGGAAGTAATCCACTTCAGATGAATTAAGAAGGAGTAAATCACTTCACATAAATTAAGAACAAGTACATCGTTGCAAATGAATTAAAATGAAAGAAAGCACTTCATATGTAAAGTGACATTCATTAATCAAAAGTGAGGTTCAAGGAATGAATGGACTGATTGACCTCAGATTCATAGAATAAGAGGTAAAATCAATCTAAACACGAAGTGAGAAGCATAAAGAACAATAAGACATAGATCACTTGAAAGAATTTCATTAAGGGTAAAATTTCTTCAAGTTATTGACATTCCAGACTCTAGGAACTCTTTTTCCTTCAGCGTCTTGGAGGACATAGGCACCAGGATGTGGCACCTCGGCCACGGTATAAGGGCCTTCCCAATTCGGGGCAAGTTTGACAAAACGAGTTTCAAACCCTGTTAGGCCAGCTTTTCTGAGAACAAGGTCTCCTACTTTGAATGTTCGAGGGCGGACTCATTTATTGTGGAAGTTGGCTAGTTTCTGCTTGTATACAAGAGTTCGAAGTCGAGCTTCTTCTCTAACTTTAGCAAGCAGATCAAGGTTTTCCCGAAGCAGTTGTCCATTTCGTCCTTCATCAAAATGGGTGACCCGAAAGCTTGGGACTCCTATTTCAATAGGAATGACTGCTTCGGTACCGAAGGCGAGATGATAGGGTGTTTCACCTATTTCAGTTAATTATAACTTTAGAATGCGCTTTATGCATTATGCACATTTGCTCTAAGGTAAAACATAATAGAAGAAGTAAAATAATATAGAAATTAATCAAATAAACTCAGTTTAAAGTAATACCTGTGGCAGTTCGGTTCGTGGTTCTGTATGCCCAGAGGACGTTGTTGAGCTCATCTGCCCATTTGGCCTTATGCTGTTCCAATCTCGGCTTTATACCTTCTAAAATGCATTTGTTAACAGATTCAACCATGCCATTGGACTCCAGATGGTAAACGGAGGTGAACTGTAACTTGATCCCATAATTGGAACAGAAATCTCAAAATGAGGAGCAATTGAATTGAGTTCCATTATCAGCCACAATTTGATTTGGGATCCCATATCTGCAAATGATCGAGCTGAAAACAAAGTCTTCGACCTTCTTGGAGGTAAGACTAGATAATGGCCGAGCTTCAACCCACTTTGTGAAATAATCCACACCAACAACCAGATGGGTTACACCAACAACCGCTTTCACGAACGGGCCTAAAAGATCCAGCCCCCACTGAGCAAATGGCCATGGTGCTACCAAGTTCGTGAGCTCCTCTGCTGGTTGATGAGTCAAATGTGCAAAGAATTGACATTTCGGGCATTTCTGAACAAAGTAAGTGGCATCTTTATGCATGTTTGGCCAGTAATATCCTTGCCTTAAGACTTTGTGAGCTAGAGTCCTAGCACCAACATGGCTCCCACAGACACCTTCATGCACCTCTCGAAGTGCATATTCAGCTTCATAGGAGTTTAAACACCATAGAAGAGGAAGTGAGAAAGATCTCTTATACAGGACCCCGTCAACGAGTGTATACCGAGATGCTTTCTTCCTCAACTTCATTGCCTCCTGCCTGTCCTCAGGTACTATCCCATCTCGCAAAAAGGAGATGATTGAATCAGTCCAGCTCGGCGTGTCAGGGTTTGTGCTAATCTCCATCACCCAAGGCTTCATGAAGCTTGGTTCATCTAAGACCTCTACAAAAACGGATCTGGAACTTAAAGAGCTATCAGAGGCAAACTTGGAGAGTGAATATGCCTGTTCATTCTCAGCTCGGGGGATTTTGCTTAGACAGAATTTCTGGAATTTGCATTTCAGCTCGGCCACCAAGGTTGCATATTTCACCATCACAGGATCAACGACTTCGCAGATTGAGTTGATTTGGTTTACTACCAATTGGGAGTCAATGTATACTTGAATTACGCTGATTTTTAACTCCAAAGCTAGCTGTAGGCCAAGTAGCAGAGCTTCATATTCAGCCATGTTATTTGTTGCATCAAAGTTGAATTTCAAAGCATGTTCGCTACGATAACCCTCTGGACTAATCAAGAGAGCGCCTGCTCCTGAACCTTTGCTGCTAGATGCCCCGTCAACATATAAGGTCCAGTCGTTGGGCTCTGGATTAGAGGTTGAGGGACATGGGGTGCATTCGACACTGAAATCTGCTAGTGCTTGAGCTCGGATTACCGATCTCTGCTGAAACGTTATCTCGAACTCCCCCAGTTCTACTGCCCACTTAATTAATCTTCCAAAGCACTCTGGTTTCTGCAGAATCTGCAGGAGAGGTTGATCTGTGAGAACGATAATTGGGTGTGACTGGAAATATGGCCTCAACTTCCTGGCCGAAGTGACAACTGCTAATGCTGCTTTCTCAACTATAGGATACCTCAGCTCTGCTCCGTGCAGTACACTGCTGATATAATAGATTGGTTTCTACTGCTTAGTTTCTACTGCTTAGTTTCTTCTCGCACCAGAACTGAACTAATGGCTTCATCTGAAATTCCCAGATACAAATAAAGAATCTCCCCATCTATAGCCTTAGTCAGTAGAGGTGGCGAGCTAAGATAAGACTTTAACTCGTCGTATGCAGTTTGGCATTCTTGACTCCATTCAAATTTCTTCTGTTTTCCTGATTCATCCTTCTGGGCGGTTGACCTCATAATCTTGAAGAATGGCAGGCACTTATCTACTGACTTCGATATGAACCGATGAAGAGCTGCCACCCTTCCGGTCAACCTCTGTATATCTTTTATTGATTTTGGCGGTTCCATCTCGGCAATTGCTCTGATCTTCTCTGGATTGACCTCAATCCCTCTTCGGGACACCATGAAACCTAGAAACTTTCCAGACTCCACACCGAAAATACATTTGGATGGGTTTAACCGCATCCTGTTCTTCTAAGGTTGTTGAAGGTTTCGTCGAGGTCGGCTAGATGGTTTTTTACTTTCAGGCTCTTTACCACAATGTCATCCACATACACCTCCAAATTTTTGCCGATCTAAGCACGAAAGACAATGGTTACCATTTTCTGATAAGTAGCACCAGCATTCTTTAAGCCAAACGGCATCATGACATAGCAATAGATTTCATCGCCAGCATAGAACGAGGTTTTCTCTTCGTCTTCAAGAGCCATCGGCACCTGGTGATACCCAGAATATGCGTCCAAGAGGCTTAACCTCTGATTGCCTGAAGCCGCTTCAACTAACTTGTCAATGCTCGGCATCAGATAGCAATCCTTGGGGCAGGCTTGGTTAAGATTTGTGTAATCAATGCACATTCGCCATTTACCGTTTGCCTTCTTCACCAAGACTGGGTTAGCCACCCATTCGCAGTAATCAACTTTCCTGACGAAACCAGCTTGTAGAAGTTTTTCTACCTCTTCTTTAATAGCCTGAAGCCTCTCCCCCCCGAAGAGACGTCGCTTCTGGGCCACTGGTTTCTTCAATGGATTGGTGCTAAGCTTGTGTTGGGATACTGAGTTTGGAATTCCTAGCATGTCTGCCGAAGTCCATGCGAACACATCATTGTTAGCTCAGAGAAAAGCTATTAGTTTTGTTCTTTCCTCCGGGTTCAATTTAGTTCCAATCTGCGTCTTTTGGCTCGGATCTCTGTCATCAATGAGCACTTCTTCAACATCTTCGACCGGAGCAGCTCTGCTTTCATCTTCCGGTCGATTATCGACGATCTCTACACCCATAACTTGCTGATTATCAGGAACTCACTGGGGGATGGCCTCGGGTGTCTGATCTTTGCCCTTCGTTGGTTGTGTTACCGAGGTGATATAGCAATGTCTGGCCACCTCCTGGTTTCCTCGTAGTGTTGCTATTCCCATAGGAGTTGGGAACTTCATGCAGAGGTGAGATTGTGAAACCACAGCGCGGATTTTAGTCAATGTGGGTCGGCCAATAACAATGTTGAAAGAGGACGCCATCTTGACGACGAGGAACCGGACTAAAGGGGTCACGTAGATCCAACCACTCCCAAAAGCCACATGGAGGGTGAGAACTTCTTCTACTAGAACAGGTTGGTTGTTAAAACCATAGATGGGACCATCATATTTCTGCAACAATGCCGGATCGAGCCCAAGACTCTCGAAACAGTGGAAGTACATGATGTCTGGTGCACTCTCAGTGTCAACAAGGACACGTTGTACTTCACAGTTGTTAACCATGACAAAAGTGACCAGGGGATCATTGTGGGGTGTAACAACTGTATCGAGATCAACAGATGTGAAAGTAATGGGTTGGTTCTTCCACTTAGCATCGTCAAACTTCCGTTTCTGAGCTCGGTTCTGATGCTTAACCTCTCTAACATACAACTTTCGCTGTTTAGAGCTCAATCCACCTGCTTCCAGACCCCCCGTGATCATGTGTATGATTCTAGCTAGTGCTGGGAGCGGAGGTGGGTTTTGCTAATATCCCACACCTTGCCTATTTGGTGGGTTACGAGCTCCTTGAGGCCGTGGCCTCTGTTCTCTGACAAACCTCGGCTGTTCAGCTCTCTGAATGTATTCATTCAACATCCCCTTCTGAGCTAGACTTTCCAGTTCGAATCTTAAACTGTTGCACTGTTCTGTAGTATGACCGTGATCTTGATGGAAATCACAATATCTGGTATGATCTCGACTAGTAGGAGCAGTCTTCATGGGGCCAGGACACCTTAAATCCATCTTATTCTTGATCTGCATAAAAATTTGTGACCTTGGCAGATTAAAGGTAGTCCAATTAACTAGAGGTTTACCTACAGATTGTTGCGGGGGTGTTGAGCTCGGCCTTCCGAATTTCGGTGGGGAGATCAACATCGGACCTCGATTCTGCGCCATCCTCATCCTTTTCCGGCTCGGATTGTCATCTCTCCATTCTGGGTTCTGGTTCTTAGAAAGAGATGGGTTTTGCGCCAGGGCGTATTCCTCAATGGTTATAAATTTCAGAGACCTGTCGTTCACCTCGCTAAAGGTGGTGGCAGCATGTTTGATCAAACTGTCTCTGAACTTGTTATGTTTAAGACTGGAGATCATAGCTGCAATCCCCACAGCTTGATCAAAGGAACTAACCTCCAATACTGCATCATTGAACCTGCTCATATAGTTTTTCAGAGATTTTCCATCTCTCTGTTTAACTCGCATCAGCTCAGAAGTAGTTTTCCTAATCAACCTTCTATTGGAAAACTTAGTGACAAAGGTAGATGCCATTTCTGTATAAAAGCTAATTGACCTCGGAGGTAAACTATAATACCAAGTTCGAGCATTACCTCGGAGAGTAGAGGGGAAGATTTTACACATCAACGCGTCAGAGGCATTTTGAGCTTGCATACAAGAGTAGAAAGCATGCAGATGATCATCAGGATCCTTTGTCTCGTCGTAAGTCTCTAGTTGTGGTATTTTGAAGCCGGCAGGATAGGGTTCCAGTGTAATGTTGGTGTTTAGGGGGTGAGGTATGGAGTCAGCAGCATGGTGTGGGGGTGGAGCACCTCGGTGTTCAGCTACTAGCTTTTCTAAGCTATCAAGGCGTCGAGTGACATCATCAGGGAGGGGTTGTTGAGCAGGTGCTATGTGGAATTGACCTTAAGATTCACTAACAGCGGGAG